GGTGAGGAGATCTGCAAGTAAATGGACTCCATGCAGTTTGAACCCACATTGGTCAAGGCTCAAACAGGCTTCAGTGTGGATTGCAATTCAGTGTAAAAAGAAAAAAAGAAAATCCTCCCAAATGCACCAATAGGTAATCTGACGATAAAAAGGAAAACAAAATTAAAGTGGCAAGGAGTTAGTCTTCGTTGGCTCCATAGCAATGCTCATGGAGGCAGGAGTTAAAAGATCAAACAATGTATTGTATTGGGGAAATCTGCTGCACAGTCCTCTTTAAAGTGCCCAAGAGGAAGAAGGGCACTTTGAGGACTAAGGTGTGCCTGAACCAAGCCATGGTATTTTTAATCACCTCGTATGCATGTAAAAGTTGGTCAGTGAATAAGAAAGGCCAAAGAAGAATAGATGCATTCGAATTATGGTGCTGGCAAGGAATACTGATAGTACCTTAGGCTCCCAGAAGGACAACCCGATCTGTCTTTAAAAATGTACAGCCAGAATGCTGCTTAGAAACTAGGATGGTGAGACTTCATCTCCAGTACTTCTGATGTGTTATGAGAGAATAGCCCCGGGGAAAAACATCGTGTTTCCTAGAGTAGAAGGGCAGCAAAAAGAGAGAAGATCCTGGATGAGCTGGACTGAAACAATGTCTCTAACAAATGGGCTCAACCCTACGAATTACGAGGACAGCTCAGGACAAGACGGTGCTTGATTCTCTTGTGAATCAGACCCTACTGGAAGGCCCTGCTATCAACAACAAGAATTGTTTGTTTAAAATATTTGTCAAGAATGTTTGTGGAATTTTCCTAGGGAAAGTACTTTGGTCAACTTGTTCCAGGAGGTTAATCCAATCCATGGCTGTCAAGCCCATTCTGATTCACAGGGACCCTCTCTATAGAGTTTCCTGGGCTTTGTAGATATTTTACAAGAACAGACAGCCTGGTGGATTTGAACTGCTGATCTTGTGGTTAGAAGTGCAGTGCTTACCCGACACTGCCACCAGAGCTTCTTGTCCCAAGTGCTTAGGAAATAGAATGGATATTAAATACAGATGAAGCTCTGTAATTATAAATCTTGTGTGTAAGGCTGAGCTTTCTAGAGAAATAAAACCAGTGACATTCATATACATATAACAAAGAAATTCATATCAAGGAAGTGGACCGGCTCAGTCAAACTCATGTTCATGGGTCAGATGCTGGTTGGAGGCGCCTCTAGACTCACACAGCTATTGGCCAATGAAGCAGGAAGGTGGCGAAACTGGAAGCCGGATTTCACAATTCCGTGGGTGCAGAGTTGCGTGGATCCAAGGTCAGCAGGTACATGGGTGGGCACCAACAGCTCCCAGTGTCAGCAGGTCATGTGGGCTACTGGTCTGAGAAGCCAGATTGAGGATCCAAGCAAGCAGAAAGGATAAAGGGCAAGAGAGAGGCCAGTTCTCTACAAAGTTTCATAAAAAGGCGATATCCCCCAGGAAATGTCATCAGTCTTTGACCAGATGAAGAGACGGGACTCCACCCATGTCTACTTATAGGTGTAGCCAATTGACACAAAACCTAACCACCACACTCTATAACCAAGATGAGGAAAACACCATTCAACTGAGCCTGTGTTGTAATTTCCTGATTCTCCCAAATCATACTTCATTTTATTTTTTTAGAAATTATTTTATTGGGGGCTCTTACAGCTCTTATAACAATCCATACATCCATTGTATCAAGACATGTGTACATATGTTGCCAACATCATTTTCAAAGCATTTTCTTTCTACTTGAGCCGTTGGTATCAGCTGCTCTTTTTTTTCCCTCCCTCTCCCACCCTCTTACCCTTGTGACCCCTTGATAAATTATAAATGATTATTTTCATATCTTTTTTATAAATCATTTTATTGGGGGCTCATGCAACTCTTATTACAATCCATACATAAATCTATTGTGTCAAGCACATTTGTACATATGTTGCCGTCATCATTTTCAAAGCATTTTCTTTCTACCTGAACACTTGCTATCAGCTCCTCAGTTTTCCCTCCCTCGCCCTTCCTCCCTTCCCCAAGAACTTTTGGTAATTTATAAATTATTAGTTTTTCATGTCTTGAATTCTTTTTTATTCACCAAATGCTTTGCTCCATTTCTGTTAACTCCTTATAAATCTGTAACTCCGATAGAAGCATAGATTGTCATTTTCAGATAAGAAGAAAAGACAAATACAAAAGTAAATTTCATGGCTTTAGGATAACAAATAGGCTTACGGATTTAAAAACATGTTTAAGAAAGTTGTTGTTGTCATGTAACCTTGCGGTGCCTGCAAGCACTCAGCTCTTAAAACGCTACCTGGTGACAACTTCTCTTCAAATTGGCACAGGATAAGTATTTTGCCCTGTTTTGAGTATAGTCATCTGTTGCATTTTACAAAATCCTTCCTAGCATAAAACTTTATGTTTTCACCTGTAAAAAAAAAAGCCAGTGTCTCACAAGGGAAACTCTTTTCCTACCCTACTGGAAGGCCCAGGAACAACTGTAGCCCAGTAGCATAGCGAGTTACGGACTGATCTGGGAGCCACAGCGTCAGCAATCCACACTCTGCAGGCAATCCTCCAGAATGAGAGGAGGCTTCCTGCTGCAGTAAGATTTATAGGCTCAAACTCCCAAGGGCAGTCTACTCTGTCCTATAGGAGTTCTATGACCAGAAATGGCTTGATGGCAATGTGTAGTGAGGGATTCCAACTTACCTACAAAATTGACTTGAGAACACACTCTGGAATAATTTGTTTATAATTAGGTGAGGAAATGGTGTGAAGGACTGTCTGCCCTCCTCTGGCTACACAGGAGGGAAGGGAAATTCAACTACACACCAGTCCATGGTGAATTCCTACCGGGTTCAGGTCAGATCTACCTCCACATTCTAATCTTCTTTACCACATTCTGACTCCAACAGTCTCTGCACAACCTTCTGCCCTTCGGCTGGTTCCCATTGCTGTGACCACACAGAACTCGGACAATACACACATTTAGAGGGTTTATTAGGGAAGTTAACAGATTACAGTTCAGGATCACAAATGTTAAGGAGACAGTGGAGGGATTTGTTGTTGTTGTTGTTGTTGTTCCTTCTGGCACATCTTTCTCTAGCCCTCAGCTTCAGTTACATGGCTACTGTGCCTCTCTCCCATGGCTCCTTTAGCACTCCATGGCTACTGTGCCTCTCTCCCATGAAGTTCCTTTAGCACTACAAATGGCCACAGGCACCCAGTTCTACTTTTGCTGTGGGTTCAGAAACCCGCTGTTACCTTCTGTGCTGTGTTCTTGGAGCCACCGTCTCCCCCTCACACAAAGATCTCTGATGTATTTTGCCAGTATCTCTTCCTTCTTGATGATTGTTAAATTCTTGTTCCTGTTTCTAAGATCGTTCACTGGGATGGCAAAACTGAACAATCTCCACATTACAGTGTCACACACCCTACTTCCATGGGGTTATCCAATCATTTTGTGGGAGTTACAAAAGCTATGACTTAGAAGAGTTATAGCTCGGGACTGCAGGTAACAGTTCATCATAAAAGGTTCACAAGTAGAGAAGAAATGTGATCAGAACTATGCTTCTGAGTGATAACATCAGTGTATATCATTTTGAATGTTTTCTAGTCTTCAGGATCCATATATATCTATCATCATGTTTAATTGTTGAGACAAGTCATTGGGTAAGCACAGTAGATATGAGGGAAAACCTTCAAGAGGTGAAATAACTTAGCCAATGTTGCTATTAGGCTGAAAAAGCTCTGAAAAAAGCCACAAGGAAGTAAAACAGAAAATTATACCTGAAAGACTTGCTTCCTTTCTTCAATACATTGTCTTATAAACTAACTTTTCCTTCATGTAGCAGGAGGTACTGATGGCTATTTCATTGTTGTTATTGTTGTTGTTGTTGTTGTTACTGTTAGAGGTCAAGTTTCTTCTGATCCAGAAGAAGCTCATGTAGCAGACTGTAACTTCCCCATAGCATTTCCTAGGCTGTAATCTTAATGGGAGATGATCATTTTATAGGACTTGGATTATAGTATTAGTGATCACCATGAGGAGGAGATGACAATGAGGAGACAGGATTCCAAATTTGAAATAGGAAAGGCAAGTAAAAAAAAAAATCATAACCTCACAAATTAGAGACAGTAATAAGTAAAATAATTGGGGAATATCCACTATCACCACCAAGGCTGACTTAGTCTATGTGAGCAGGGACCCTTGGAGATGTGTTTCCATAACCAGCGAGGTGAGGACTATTAGCCTAACTCACCACCAGCAGGAATAGAAAGCAACTGGGTCTGATCTAAATGCATAGAAAAAAAAAAAAAAAGAGCTTCTAATCTGATCACAGAGTATCCTGGACCTGCCCAAGAAGACTATTGAAAATAAAGCATGATATAGAATCTCAGGATGGGTTCTCTAGAGAACTGCGTGCAAGCGAGTTGTGTACCTATGTATACATATACAAGGAGATAAAATTATATCAAGAAAATAAATGGCTCATGCAGTTGCAGAAGTAGGCAAGTTTAGTCTAAGTCCATGCAAGTCCCAAGTCCGTGGGTCATATGTTAGGCTGGAGGCTTCTCCTGGCTGTGTAGCTTCTAGGACTATGAGTAAAATTTGTCAGGCAGACCCAGGGTGGTGGTTTCAGAGACAGATGGATGCAAAGTCAGACTTGGGACTGGGGAGAAAAATCAATCCAAGGTCACCAGGTCACATGGCAGGACACTTATGGTTCCAGGGATTGGTCAACATCATGGCAGATCACTGACTCAAACCTGAAGAACCAGCGGTCAGTGAGCCAGATACAAGATCCAAACCCAGCAAAAAGCAAGCAAGCTTTTCCACAGAATCCACTTATATAGAAAGTAGGCTATACCACCATGGAAACATCCTTTTGAGTACATTAAGGTGGTGACCTAAGTAAAGGTGTTACGTTCTACCCTAATCTTCTAACAACCGATTTGCTGCTCACAACAGATCACATGATGGATTTGATGGCTAATTTTTTCTGTTGGTGTTGGTTGCTGATAAGCTGATTTTGACTCATAGTCACCCTATACATGTGAAGTGATTGCACTACTGGACTTGCAAGGATGAACCTATTGGAAACAGATCACCTATCTTTCTCCTAAGGTGCCTCTGGGAATGCTTGAACTCACAGCCTTTTGGTAATTGAGTATTTATTTAACTGTTTGCAACACCAAGGGAACACAAAGCTTTTCTGGAGATCTATATATGACCTTTAAACTATACATGAAAGGGCAAAGGGGATATCCTGGTTTCAGATCAGGAAACATGAATAATGTTCCCAGGCAACCAAGCATTATCATCCCTCTCTTTGAAAAGAGAGAAATAGTTTCCAGTTCCCTGGTGAGAGACAGTAAATTCATTGACAGAATGTTGCTTGCATGCCTGCAGTCAGGTTGCCTATGGATTTTAAATACAAACTGAGTTCAGGCTTAGAAAAGGTTTGTAAAGATTTTGTAAGGTGTAAATCCCGGTCCAAGGTGAAGTTTGATCTGTGTCACTGATGTAAGCATGGCTCCCAGCCTCACAGCTATTGTCCTTGCTTCTCATCATTTTTTCCAGACCAAAATAAATGGAGTACATGGCACTGGTCACCTCATTCCCAATATGTCATTGCCTCTTTCATATTGGCTTGCCATGTATCTGGGGTTTGAATAAAATACATGCATTTATGTTTCTTCTTCCAATCACTGCATCTAGCAACAACTTAAAAAATGGAATTAAAAGAAAATCTTAACTGTAGTTATCTTTTTTTTTTTCTTGTAGCATCTTATGTTTGAAGAAAGGGTTTTGCTCTATTTTGGTCAAACCAGCTCCTCTCCCTGTCTCTTCGGTTGCAAAGTAAATTGAAAAAGAACCTTCTCAAACAAACCGAATCAAGACCACAGTTTTAAAAGGTATCTTTTTAAATGAAGGAGACAGTATTTGAAGTGAGAGAAACAAATGCCTTCTGAAGCTTAAACTAAATCCCCCTGAGAGGTAGGGGTGAGTAGGTGCCCTTTCTTCCCCCCAAGCACTTCCAGTGCCTCTAAGGATCTTGCTGGTTTAATCCCTCAGTGGCCCACACGAGCTAAGAAATAATAAAGCAGCAGTTTAAAACTACATTCATCTTCCGATGAGAGGCAGCTGAGAGCTTTGAATGCATTTTTTTTTATCATCCTTTTTCTTGCAGCCCCAATTACTCTCCATACTTCTGCGTTTCCAGCCATTGATGATTATTTTTAAATAGAGGTTGGGTGGCCACATAGCAACCTTCCCACAGAACCTAGGTCCTGCACACATGAAAGAAATGCTTCCTTTGCATACTTTTTAAAAAAATTTTTGAGGAGGAGGAAGCACTGTTTCAGATCCGAAAGCAACCTTTCATTGCGTTGAGGTTGAGAAGCAAATGAAAAGCAAAAGAGAGAGTGAAGTTCATTTAATGCTATTATGCTTTCTGGGTTTTCCTGCTTTTATTCAATGCACTCCCCCAACACTCTCAGTTGCTCCTTAGTCTGAAGTACACTGAGGAAGCGCAGCCACCTTGCCTGGGGCAGGAGAAATCTGGTTCCACTGTGAGGAAGAGGTGATTCATCACAGTCTCCAGCTTCCTGCTTCTCTTCAATCTCCTGCAGAGAATCCCAGGTAGGATCACGTGACGTAGCCCTTAATGACAGGGCCCTGGGAGGCTCCCCAGCAAATGAAGGCAGAGGGAGGGCTGGGCGGGGACCCACGTGATTTTGACAGGGGGAATTGTTCCAGTGAGAGCTTGGCTTCCATAAGCATGACCTGGGGGGAAGTCAAAGAGAAACAAGGATGTCTTTGCCTGCATAACTTTGCCTTGGGAACCTCTGAATCACATTAATGAGGTTAAGTGTGAAAAATTGGAGAAACTCAATTTTAAAACAGGTCTTTAAATGAGATCCGTTTTGAATGTTAGTCCAGATTCTGTAAACATGGAGTGAATTACCAGTATACGATGACCAATATACTTAGAAATCAATCTTAGTTTCTAAGTACCGGTATGTTTTTCTAACGTGCACCTAAAAGTGCTTTCAAAATTACAATATACACAATTAGCTACAGTTTGACAGCTTTGCTTAGTTTTGTACAGAGAAGCTGCCCGGCATTCTGAGCCCAGGCCAGCTTTCGCACTGCTGGTGCTCCTCTGATGAAAACCAGCACGGGGAAGGGAATATCCACACTCAAAGTGTTCGGATGTGTTTCTGAGGTTCTTCTCAACACTGAAAGAATTCACGCAGCCAATGCACTTTTGTAATACAAGTAACTTTTAGGAGGGAAAGGGAAGCGTCGGGAGATACGGTCTCAGATAGTGTACACTATCCCTAGAAAACGTGCAAGGCTGCATGATGGGGCTGTGAGCAAGTCTGTCACTGAAGATGGCCACTTCAGGACAGCATGAAAAACCACAAAAAGGAGTCCTGGAACCAACAGAGAAGAAAGAGTGCAAGCCCTGAGAGAGTGCACGCACACACTGGCGAGATTATGCCCTCAGACCTACACAGGAGCACCTGAGAGCCAGGGGCCTGCCCTCAGTCTGTGCGATTTATTCCCTCCTTTCTCCACTTGAGGGCAGGCGTCCTGTCATGGTGGAGGGTTCTTAGTGACTCAGTCCAGGCGCATGTGTGATGCTATAATGCTGGTGCCTAGTGTGCATGCCCAGGTTGACCTTCACCTGTGTCTAGGTGACCTTGGTCTGTGCATGCCCAGCTTTGGATTGTCCCCATAGGTGTCTACTGTGTGCCTGATTTCTTTCCAACCCCTTTGTTGTGGCATGGCCAGCTAATTTTTGTTTAGCATGGGCATTCAGTGGAGACAACCCCCTCTATCTATAATCTTTCTACCTATCAAAAGTATATTGTAAAACTTGATGAGTTTAGGTTGCACACACATATGGCCTTAACGTGATCTTTTTTGTTATAGTAATGTTTGTTAGATGCAATGTTTTTCTAGAGAAGGATAAAAAATATAACTGATGTTATATGTTCATAATTATCTTTGTGTTTTCCATAATGTATGTATGTATGTACGCTTACTAAGTATGGACCACCAAAGATGTTTGCATTTATTACGAGCAAAATATCAGAAATGACATGCAATGGTCATTCAAGAGCTAAAAAGTAGTTGAGACTTGATTTCCCCATCCTAGGATATAATTTCTAAATGCCCTTTCAGAAGAATTGGTTTCAGCAGAATTTAAAATTAAAGGATATAATGTAGTGAAAATGTCTACCAGTGGCAGGCACTTGGTAGATGTTCAATAAATATATTTTCCTTCCTTCCAAGCAGATTAAAGTTCAGTCTCATTAGTGAGATCATTTATGATCATCTTTGATGAATGGGAAAGGATCTTCCATGTAATATTCAAGTATTGGGGTATATTCTAACTTGGGAAGAATATGAGGCTCATTCTTTTGTAGTAAGGAGAACAAAACAGCCATTAACTTTGAGTAGAATTACATAAACCATGCATGCCCTGTCAAGGAAGACATGGATATATGTGCAATAGAAATTGAGAACAGAAGGAGCAACAGTTATATAATTGATAAACTCATCATGATTGAGAATGAAAAGATGAACTCTAAAGATAATGTATTGTCCAATTGAAGACTATTTACCTAGCATGTGGATTTCCTGATGTGAGCATACTAGCATTAAGGATAAGAACTGGTACAACGGAAGTAGTGACATGCATGCTGAAGTGAATGATGCAGGCTCTAAACATTGAACCAAGACAAAGGAGTCACACAGAACAGCAAGATGATTGTAACCACCTCTGCCCACAGCTAGTGAGACAATCTAGTCTAAGACCTGGCGGTGCAATAATTAAGCACATTAAAATTACAGCCTAAGAAACCCTCCGGGGAAGTTAAACTTTGCTCCCTATGGTCATTGAGTCAGAACTGGTTCAATGGCACACTATACCATCGCCATAATGGAAGACAGTTTATGTGTCTTATTTAATCCTCGCAGCTCCAAGGCAAGTATTAGCAGCACCATTTCAAAGATGAAGACACTGAGGTTCTCCCATTTACCCAATGGCTCTCTTAAGTAAGTGAACAGGAAATAGATCTAAATATGTTTAACTGGAAAGGCTCTACTCTTTATAGTAGCCATTGCCATCACCAACTCTAACTCATAGAGTCCCCATAGGACAGAGTACAACTTCTCCGTTAGTCTCTAAGACTGTCGTCTACAGAGACCCTATAGGATAGAGAAGAACTTCTCCATAGAAATTCCATTACTGTCATCTATATAGAAACAAAGAGTCACATTTTTCTTCCATGAAACCTCTCATTTATTGTGCTTACACAATGTTCCATTAGGGCTCCTCTCTAATTTGTAGTTTGCCTGGTGTTTATAATACATTTTCAGTTACTGAAAGTGAATCCTGCAGTGTGTATTTTGAAAGGTTTTATTTTGTTGCAACTAATACTTTAGTTACCAGTTGAAAGCTTTGAGAAAAAGAAAATGTTCAGGTGTTTTTTTAAAAGATTGCCCTCACTATTGAGATGTCACTACACAGAACTCATTCATCGTATTTCTGTCACCAGCTTCTACGAGGTTGCAAGTTTTTAAAGTAGAGGTAAATAGCAAAAACCTCCTAAGAGCTATATGCTGCCTCAAAGTAGTGGCTTTCAGTTATCATTACAGTTGTCACTTTCAGGTTTTTTAGTCCTGTAGACTAAGGAGTCCTGAGAGTTTTGTTCAGTAAACTTTGAACTGCTAACGGCAAGGTCAGTAGTTCAAACCCACCAGTCACTCGGAAGGAAAAAGATGAGGCTGTCTGCTAAAGATTGACAAGGTCTCTGAAACCCTACACATGGTCCCTATGAGTCAGAATCACCTG